GCGTTATTAAACCTGCGCTAAGGACACACGGGAGATGCTTTTTGCATGTACTGCAAAAACCTCGTGTGAGCTGTGTGTGCACAGAGGTGCGTGTGCACACAAAGGTGAACTAATTATTATGGATGTGCCGTCCTGGGTGACTGTTTACAGGTACAAACGTTCAGGTGGGTCCTTTTGGCCATAGTTGAAGGCTGCAGCAGCAAACCTGGGGTAGGTCCTGCCCACGCCGTGTCGCTGGCGCTCCTATGCAATGTTTCCACCAAAGCTGCGAACCGATTTGACTCGTCTTTCCTGGGTCTTCCTGACTGTCAGCCAGCCACTGATGCAAAGCAGATTTTATCTACACAGTGCTTTGAGATAAACATTTTATGGAGGCAAAGATTTATTATACTTAGTGAATAAAGCTGATAACGAAAAATCAGTATTTTCCATGAGGAGAGGGAGAACTTTCCACAAACTTCAATGAAAACTCCATTATTATTTTTTTTTCCACAAAAACCAGACACTTCACAAAATTAATTTCGTCAAAATATAAGTTAAGCATAAAATTTGTGACTAGCCCCACTCGTGAGTGCTAATGCTGCTCTCTATGGTACCCGCGGCTGTCTGTTAAGGAATGGAAAGCACAGCTTATGTCAAAATTATGGAAAGATCGATATTTTTTTTTCTTTTTTTCTTTTAACACCTCAATTTAGATCCCGCTTTGGTGACCAATGGCACCGACCTCTCGCACAGCGAGGCTGGGGCTGGGGAGAAAAGGTGGGCTGACGATGGGGCGAGGGGCAGTGGCCGCTGCCGGCAGCACCCAGCGGTGCTCGAGAGTGGAGGAGAAAGCCCTTTTTGTTATACAGTGTTTATTAAGTAGATTCAGTCTTATATATGATATACAGATTCAAAAGAAAAAAAAAAAAAAAAGGATTCCACATACTTATGAAATCAGTGCATTTAGCAAGTAATACCATGGAGATAACAGCTTGATTAACAGCTCATTGGTCTTTGTTAAGTGAGGGGAACAGGGAGTTGGCCTGTGCTAATCATTCCACAAACAGAACAGAATTAAGTTGCATCACATATATAATAGACACACATTCTAAGAATTAAAATATTAAGCCACATTTACTGGAAAAATCCACAGTATATAACACAAATAACTCTTATCAAGCTCGTTGAGGAGGAAGTGCTCATCTGCTTAAGAGCCACATTAAGTTGCATAGGTGCCTATCTGCAAAAATATCATTTCAAAATGAATCAATTGATTAAGCAATAAAGTGTCACCTTAAAAGCTGGATTAAGTGCCATATGCTTTCTATCGGAGCCTTCAGGAAAGAGGGGCCTTTCCAAAGAGCTCCTTCTGCTTCGTTTTGGAGCCCCCCCCCCCGCCTCCCGAGGGAACGTGCTCCCACCCTCTCGATCTGAAATCAGCGGTCAGCTCGGGCGATTTCACCGGGTTCGTTAAAGTATGTTCCCAATTCTGCTGACGAATGTTCCCCCCCACCCTGCCACCCCCTCGCTTCCTTGCAAGCCCCCTCGGCTCGAGTGCTCTTCTGCGTTGTTTGAACCCTACGCTGAGCTCGGTGGCTTTCGCCCTCCCTCCTGGGATGCCAGGAGGAGGAGGAGGAGGATGGTGAAACAGCAGCGCTGTTTTGAGTTCTGGCGCTTGAGTTAACTGAGCATCGTCTCAGCTCTCGTTTTGAATTGCAGCCAATCCGTAAATCGACTACTGGGAAAAAAAAAAATAAAAATAAAAATAAAAATGCAATAGCTTGTGCAAAACCCAAAATTGCTTAAAGGGCGTTTCAATTTTGTGGGGTCTTCCTTAGGGTAGGTGCGTGTGTCAGTGGGTGAGTGAAGCTGTGGCTGGGTTAAGCAGACGAACTGGGTGAGGTGCATCTTCCTCTTCAACAGCAGGTCTTGCAGAACACACAGGGGCCGGGAGTTCTGTACATGTAAACAGTACACTTTCACTGAGTCCAAAATTAGGAGCAAAAATACAAAGGTTCACATTGGTCTTAGGTAGATACAGGCGAAAAACTGAGCTGTACAGCTCCGAAACAACCAAACAAAAGTTTCTAAAGCACCACTAAATTATATAAAAATCAGACCATGGACGGATTGTAGTCGGTATTCTGGTGAAATACTATGCTACCTTGTAAAAAGTTTTACAAAAAATTACAAATCAAAAGTATATTAACCCTCTGAGTTCAAAGCAGCATATTTTTTTTTTTCATGAACTGGTACTAAATCCGATGGCCACTCGTGGGAGGGAAGTGGCCCTTTGGATCGGGGAGGTACAAGTTACGTCTGCTCGCCATCCCGGGAACGCTCTCCCATGTAGAAACACTGTCATGGGAACCGCACATCCAGGGCAGGATGGTTGTGTTTAAAATAAAATAAAATTAAATTAAAAAAAAAAAATATCTATTTTCTCGACCAGTGATTAGCTTTTCTTGAAACCAAGAACATCCAGACCATTTGCTAACCCAGCATTCTCCTTCCACCTCTCAGAATAGCTGGAGAGCCGGTGTATTCTGCTCCTGCTCATTCCTTCTCGTTGAGAACCCGGACTAGCGATTCCTGACCCCGTCCTGCCTAGAGAGAGCGCAGGAATGTGGCTGTGAAACAGTCCTGGAGCACAGAAGAGCCGCAACTGAGCATGGATCAGCTGAAGAGCACTGAGATGTCGGTGGAGCTCACTCCAAAGAAACTATAAAGCTGCGGCTCACCAAAAAAAAAAAAAAAAAAGTAATAAAAAAAGAAAAAGATCCCTGACAGAAATTCATAGTCAATCCCATTTGCTTCATAACTTGTCACACAGATGTGGCTGTCACCGGGGCTTTGGAAATCTGAGTCTGTACCATTCAGCTGCAAGTTATGAACATCAGTTGTGAGGACAGGGTAGACTGTTGGATACCTTCCTATGCAACCATGAGCCTCATCTGTCTTCTACAGCAGTTTAACAAAGTGTAAGAGCTACTAAGCTTCAATACATGCTAAGACAAGTTCAAAGGTGATCTGGTAACGACAGCTAAAACTTGTATAAATAAAACTTTAAACAAAGTGTAGCTGATGGTGATCTGTCCGTAAGCCCCTGGGTAACCTCTTTTTCAGTAAACTGGATGGCAAACTTATGGCTAAAATGTTCTCGATGGCCTCTGACGGGGAGGGAGGCACCGACTCGGGTGGGATATCGCAGAGAGAGAGAATTCCGGGACAGCGATTGTCTCTGCCTCTCCTTCCTTAACGGTAAGACTTTCACAAATGGCTGCGGTTACATATTTTTGTCGAAGGTTTGTTACTTCATGGTATTCACACAAAAATAAATATTTACATAAATTCCAAGTATGGGAGGATGCAGTGGACAAACCAAGCAGGCTTGTGAAGTGCTGGGGAAAGCGTGAGGCTGAACCCTGGCTCGGGGAGGGGGGGGCTGATATCCGGGGCTGGCCCCCACCCCCTCTCCTGCCTGCTGCGGGCAGGGAAGGGGACGGGGCGCTTGGCCCGGGCACCCCTCGGGACGGCCGCCATGCTCCCGGCTCCAGCATCGGCTCAGGTCTAACAAGCCACCACCTCATCTCTGCACGGACACCCTGACTGTGCCCAACGGCCAGGAGTTAGGTCCCTTTTCTCCAAATGCTGTGGAAAGTTTAAGGTTTGGGGAAAAACAGTCAATGCAACGGTTAATCCCTTCTGCTGCCGGGCCAGGCAAGCCCGTCCTCAGGAGCCGGCAGCTTTTTTCATACTAAGACTAAGAGCAGGGTAGAGGTTTTACTTCTCTTCCAGTGTGTGGGGAGTATAACCGGGTGTAAAGGCTACTGAGTCAACTGCCCAGGTCTGCTCCCGTCTGGGACCAGCCGCTGCCACCAAGCTCGAGCCCACGCCAGCGGCATCAGCCCTCCACGAAGCAGCAGCCTCCCTCTGCCGGCTCAGAGCGGCCGAAAAAAAGAAGAAAAAAGCTGGCTCCAACGAGAGAAAGTATCTACCTTTAAAAGGAGCGTGTAGGGGGTTACACTTATGGAATCTATATCTTGTGGTGAGGACTCCCGCCCGGGCTGGGGGAGCTGTGCCGGCGCGGGGGGCGAGGAGGAGCGGGGATCCCCGGCAGCCGTCTCTGCTGCTCTACGTGGCTCCGGAGCACGTTCCATTGCTCGGCTCGGCTCAGCACCTCCGTGCCTGAGCAAAGTCCCTGGGTTTAGCAGCACTGGTAGTAGGTATTGCACTGAGCAAAACGAAGTGCATTATTGGGGGTGGGGGTGGGAGGGGTGGTAATGGGGCAAAATGGTCATCGGACTACGGTTTTTCCACACTTTGGGAATTGTGGGCTTGTTCCAGGACTGTGAGCAGGGAGGGGGGGAGGATCCTGGGCCCCGGAGAGGACTTTTGTCAGTTCTGCTGCTGAATGTTGCCCGTCTCCGTCTTCTGCAGAGCAGCGAGCGGCTCGCCGCGCTGAGCTCGCTTTCCAGGCAGAGACTCGGCATTAGCCTTTATTACACCCATGCGGTTCCTAAACGGTTTATTCTCCTGGTGCTACCCCAGGGCTGGTTTCACCGCGACTGATGCAAACAGCCGGGTGCAGCGGGGTGGGGGCGAGCTGCCGCCCAGCAGCAGGACCCCGGCGGATCCGCCGGACCTGCCGGGTTGGGTCCAGCCTCCTCGGCGCGATCCACACGTCTGCAACACTCACCGTCCCCCAGGCCCAGCTCGGCCAGTCCTGGAAGAAGCCCACAATGGAGTGTGAGGTAGAGTACGGATGGTGACCGCAAGACAGTGTTTCTCAGGTATTTCCTTCCTTCCTTCTCTTATCTGCAATGAATTAAATGAGTGCGAGACGTCCTTCTAGGCGGAGGTCTGCTGAACTTGCCAAGTCTCTCGGGAGATTTAGACCCCACTGCTGCTACAGGACCGCTTAGAACGAAGGTCTAAGCAGGACGCTTGCTTGCTCCATTGGTCAGCTGCCACCTACGCTTACTGGAGGTCGAGCAGCCCCGAAGTCTAGGGCTGGATGGCAAACTCGCTCCCTGTGGGACAAGGGCTCCCCAGAGAAACAGGCAGAGCTGCCTGGAAATTAGTAGTGTAGTGATATGGAATGTGTTATTTCACAGGAATAAATTCCTTCTGATCAGACAGACAAAAAACTGGCAATCTGTACAAACTCAAAAGAATCCATTTTCAGAAAAATAAATTACTAAGGGGAGAGGAGGGTCCATTTCTCAATAAATATGTGATTCAGCTCACCTAAGACTTGGAAATTATCTGGGGACGGGAATCTAACATTTGGGTCCACAAAGGTTATTCTAAATACATCTGCAGCCCCAAACCTCCCCAGGCTCCCTTCTGCCCTTGAAAGTCCCACATCTTTCCAAGCCACAGGTTTGGCTTCTGGTCGGCCGGACGCACGGGTGTTGGTACGGTTCAAAAACGTGTCCTTGTGCCTGAAGTCCCAGGTGCTTGGAGTGTAAAAGAAAACAGGTCTTTTGGATTCCACCTTCTAAAACTACATGTACCCGCCGTTTCACGGGAGGACGATGGTGGTCCTGAGCAGGACACCGCTGGGAGCCTCTTTCTAGCAGGTATAAATTGTCTTCTCGACAGAGGAGCGATGCAGACACAGGGAGTCAGTTCTGCTGTAAAATGAGGTTTTCCAGTTCATCTGCAGATCGAAGCAGAAACGCCGCCGACTCTCGGTAGCCGGCGATCAGCTGCCGCACTGCGCTGATCTCTGTGGGGCTGAGCTGGGCAGCCTGCATTCCCCTGCTGGTGCTGTTGGAGGGGGCCGTGTTGGAAGCCCCACCTTTCATGCTGAGATCGGTCGGACCTGCCAAGAAAAAGCGAGAGGGATGCTCAGGCAGAGCAGCCTTGTCCGTGTCCGTCCTGCCGTGATGAGACCCCCAGCAGGAGCCGCTGCTCCTGGGCCTCTGCACCGGCAGGAAGGTCCCTGCAAAGTGTGGTGCCCTGGACAATGTGAGAAGCCCCAGGTCCCACAGCAGCCAGCGCAGGCAGCCAGTGCAGGCAAGTTACTGCCTCCACAACAGCCGCAACGAGGAAAAAGACTTCAGAGTCAACGTGACAAAAAAATCCCACCCTGCAGCCTGTCCCATCTGCTCCACAAAGGGATGGTCTGTGGCCATGCTTTGCCAGAAGCTAAACCAGTGCCCGGGGGTACCTGCCCACCAAAATCACCCACCAGGTTCTGTTTTTTCCTCTGCATATGGCAAATAACATCCCACACGGGGCGTGTTTCCCTGGTTTAGTGCTGGGTTACTACACTTCTCTGCCCAGCACAGCAGCTGGGAGGAACCTTTCAGCATGTTGTGGGGCCAGACTGTGCTGCACGGCGAGAAGGAGACCTGTCCTGCCCGGGCTCTCGCACACCACCCCAGCCAGCATCGCGGTTACGTGCTCAGCCTTAGGTCGAAGGTTTGCAGGGGGCTAAATGGTCTTACTAAGCTGCACATTTCTGTGGCTTAGTCAGTAAATGAAATAAAGCCCTGACAAATTTATGATCTGCCTGATGGGCAGGGGTAATTTTTTCTCCTAAGTCCTTCTCTGCTCCACCTCTATCGCATGCCATCGGCTTCTGGCCATGTATGTGTGTCCGTCTTCTGCAGAATAGGACACACAGCTGCCACAGCTCACAACCCCCACCCCGTACCGCTCCAGATCTTAAACCTGCAAAAAGTCACAAAATGATCGAGTTCTCCTAAACCCAAGGACCAGTCTCAGCCGCTGCCCTGGCAGATACACACACAATCATGTGCACGCGTGTGCAGCCGAGTTTGGGCGGCTGCGGGTGGAAGGCTTTGGCAGGAAAGCTGATACACAGCTTGAGGAGCAACAGACAGGTAAAGGCAGGGGGAAAACTGGATTTAGCTTTGTGTTGGACTAAGAGAAGCCACACAAGGTGCAAGAACCACACAATCAACCAGAAATTGAGAGAAGAGGAAAGATGTGTAGTAGAGACATGATACTAGTCAGGGAGAGGGGGCGGGCGAGACTGCAGCCTGGGGGTAAGGAGAAAGAGAAGACACTGAACTAATTAATCCCCTGGCTGTGAGCTGGAGCATTGCAGGCTGATGGAGCGGTTGGTGATGCTGGAGAAAGGCTCCAGGAGGGCTGAGCTCCTGCTGGGTGGGACACAAACATCGGGACAAGCAGGAAGATGAAGCAGGGACTGGGTGTTGCTGCAGTTTGCAAACAGGGACAGGAGAGCTCAGCAGCTCCCCGAGACCAGGTGGGTCCCGCTGGTGACGGTGGCAGGGAGGGGAGCACATCACCCCGGGACGGGAAGGAAAGTGTCCAAGGAAAGCAATGCTGGAGCAGCAAATGCTGCGGGAGGAGTGGCAGCAGCAGAGGACTTCCACGCCAGGCTAATCAGCGCTCGGTGAAGGGGAGCAGGAGGCTCTCATGCGAAAGCAATTTCACCGGACAGAAAAAGCGGCAGCAAACGGAGCCTGTTTCCCGGCTCACCAAGGGGGAAGGACCTGGGAATGGGGATGTGGGTTTGAGCAAGAATTGCCTTAGGTGGGGGATGGAGGGAGAAGACACTTCTGGGCAGCAAACCCCTGCAGGCTTTGTGCTCACGGAGGGAGGAGAAGGCACAGCTCCTTGCAGCGCTCCTTGCCAGCGCGCTCTAAAGGACTGGCAAAGAGCTTGGGCAAAGGGGAAAAAAAATAATTGCGAAGCGGAGGTTTAAAAATTCATTAGAAAGAAGCGTGTGTGCTGCTGCTGTGTGCTACACCCAGGGCCCTTCTGCTCCTCCAGGAGCCCCTGCTCACTGGGGCTGCTCCCAGACAGTTCTGCAAGTTCACTGCCTCTTGCCAAGGAGCCAGCGCTTGCGGCTGGGCCGGGTGAGACAAGGGTGCCGGGCAGCGTGGGGGGCCAGGGGTGCCTGTGCTGCTCTGGGGAGGAACCATAGCTGCCTCCGCTGTGGCTGCAAGGATTAGGTCTCAGCAGCTGGAGGCCGGGGTGGGATCTTTATTCAGGGTTAAGAAGCATTAGGAAGGGATGATAAGAGTTAATCCCAGACAGGCATCTCTCAGGGCTCCGGAAATCACATCCTTCCAAATCCTCACTCCTGTTGGGGTGGGCAGGGGCAGGGCAGGAGCCCAGAGTGCACCGGGGCAAGCAAAGGCAGCCCAGAGATTGCCAAAGAACTGGCCAAGGACCAGTGTGGGCTCCAGCCCCTCCTGCCACCGCCGCTGGGAGGGCAAAGCCAGAGGGCTGCTGCCCAAGGGGAGAGCCTTTGCCTCATCCCACACCTCTTTTGCCTGGGTGCCAGGCAGTCACCAGGTACCACGGCACCTCCTCAAGTGCCCTGCTCGGCCCCAGGCTACTCCATTCTGTTCACTTGCTCCTAACTCAGCCCACCCCTCAAGCCTTTCCTGCTCTCTCCTTCTGCCTTCCTGCCCTGTAGCCTCAGTCCTGGTTCCCCGGCTGCTTTTCCCACACAGCCCACAGCCCCTCACCACCCTTCTGCCATGCAGCACCCGGCTGTGCCCCTGGTGCTGCTGGGGATCCCCCAAACTGCACCAGCCCTGTCCCCATCCCCATTGCCATCTCTGAGAGCAGCCGACTCAGGCTGGTAAAGGAACGGCTCATACCAGCAATGAGATCGGGGCAGCGATAGGCACCCGCTCCTGTTAATAATTAATAGCTGGTACAGATTCTCTTTTTTTTTTAAGTGACACTCCTTCCCCCCACCAGTGCCACCTAGACCGTCCTTTCAAGTTCAGTTCAACAATTAACCGCCTGCTGATGAGGCAAGCTGAGCAGCCGGGCAGAGGCCTCTTTTGGCTGCAGGAGAAGAGGGGTTTTGGAGCAGCTCTACATGGTGGTGGGAGCGATATTGCCACGACCAGGCTTGGCGTGAGCTGTGGCAGCAGCCCCTGCTTCAGCCCCAGCACCCAGCTCCAGCAGAGCACAGGGTACCGGGGAGCCCGCGGCGTGCTGCCCGGGCACAGGGAAGAGGCAATGGCCAGGTGAGCTCCCCGGGCTGCTGCGGGCCCCAGTGCAGCATGTGGCCGCTTACCGTTACTGTGGTTGCCCGTCTGGAGGGAGGCGGGTGGCTGCAGGCTGCCCCCCAGGGACCCGTAGCCACGGTAGCTGTAGTTCAGGCTTCCATTGATGTAGACTGGGTCTTGGGAGTAAGATGAAGCTGGCAGTGAATAGGAGGAGTGGGTGATGGCTGTGGAGTCTCTGGAGTGCTGCTTGTCTAGAGCGATCGGTTCGTCCTGCACAGGGGAAACACAGACTTAATCCAGCGCAGAGCCCGGTGGGACAGCGTGGGGACGTCTGGTCTCCTGCAGCTGCAGCACAGCCAGCACAAACCAGTGTCCCCAGCCCCACTGGCCTGAGTCTCAGCACACACCATGGGGTCCTGTTCTGTAGCCCTCTGACGTTTAGAAAGGGTTTTAAAAATGCTTTGCCAAATTGCTCAGAAACTTCTCATATTTTCCCCACACGCACCTCTGGCCGCAAGCACTGTACCTGGGAGGTCTGGTAGATCTCCAGCCGCATCCTCTTGGCTGCTTTCCGCGTTTCGCTCTCGCAGGCAGCGGCCAAGATGTTCTCTGCCATGGCCGAGGTCAGGTGTGGCGGTGTGGGCCTGGTCTGTGGAGACACAAGCAGAGAAGGTGCTCAGAGACCCGCTGCCCCGGGAGTGGTGGCGACCAGCAGGGCAGTGGGGTGGATGCTCACCATCTCCATCCCGTTCTTCTTCATGCGGCGGCAGGACTTGAGGTAGGTGCGGATGCGCTTGCGCGCCCGCTCCTGGAACTCAGGGAACTGCCGGCTGCAGGACTCAATGATGGCCTGGATCTTCTCCTTGGGCTGCTTGGAGATGGGAACCATCCGGTCCAGGTTCTCGTCCACAAAAAGGCGCACAAACATCTGCAAAGGAGAAGACAGATGGTGGGAACACCAAGATGGGAGGTGGGTGAGCTCTCCCTCCCCATAGAGCCCTCCTTACATTGAAGGCCTTTAGCCTCTCTGGGTCCATCCCCTCCGAGTCATTTATCTTATCGTTGTCTTCATGGTCATCATGGTCATCATCATCTTCATCAGCCGTGGGGGCCCTGCCGACAGTCAGGTCCTCAGGGCAGCCGCTGACCTCTGTCTTGATGGAGTCGTAACTGCCAGAGCTGTACGGAGGGGACTGAGAGGAGACGGGAGTTATCGCAAGCAGCCCTCGCCTGCCTGTCCCTGCCCACGGTCACAAGGAAAAAGCCCATTCTCCCTGGCTCACTGTTTCTGGCCCATCTCCTTGTGTTCCCGAGCAACCTGGAGAGATGAACCCATGGATGGGCTCCTCCAAATGCCAGCTCTTGCCTGCTCAGGGCAGGAGGGACACAGCAGCCTCGAGGACCATGCGATGGTCCAAAGTGCAGGCACTGCAGCTCTGGCTGGTGGGGGCTGTGGCTCTGCCTGACCCTGTGGGAAAAGCTGCCCCGGCCCAGCGGGAATGGGCTCCTTCTGGCAGGGCGGCAGTGGCACAGCCGGTCAGGGATGAGGCAAGCCCACTGCAGAGCCCTGGCTGTGGGGCAAGCAGGGCACAGGGGATGCTCCCCAGCTCTCCCAAACCATCCCTCCATCTCTCTCTCCCTCTGCCAACAACTCACTCAGCGTTCGGGACGATTTCTGCTGAGCAGCAGCAGCCCCGAGGCTGGAACGTGGCCAGGCACAGCAGCTCTGCCGCAGCAGTGGCAGGCGAGTGAGTGCAGTGCTCGTCCGTCCTTCCCTCCCTACAAGGGAAAGGCTCCCAGCCCCACCCTGGGCTTTCCCGGCA